CCTTAGTGTATACCCCTGAGCATCCCAGGATATCAAGCCAGCTCCTAGGCTATATGCTTTCCTCAATATTTCCCCTTAGGTCCCCGAAATTATCTGCCCAGAGAAGGTCTTGATCTGCCCGGTTCAATATTAGTCATAGGTCTCCTTAAAATACACTCTTAACCTCCCCAAAATACCAGGCACGCGGAAGGGGGAAACTTATCTGGTAGCCTGATATATCCATCTCCTTGTTGATACCCCATCTGCCCCCTTAGCTATATGCTAAACTTCCTTCCCTTGAGCCCCCAAATCTGTGCTGTTAGTGATAGACCCAGCGGTCTTGGCCAGGTAAGGGGTAATCTACGAGGGATTGAGGAAGGGCACGTTGGTTCTCTGGTCCCCCCGGATTGCTCCGGGGTAAAAAATTATAAATTCAAATTAAAAGAAAAAAAACACAAAAACGGGCCAGGCCCAGCACGTCTCTTTCACTATTCATTATCATTCAATATTAGCACGCTATTCCCCTAACTTGGGCTATCGTTTAGGCTCTAATACGGGCCTGATATTCTCTACCTACCTGATGTTGGGGAAAGATGGGAGAGCGTTGGTGGCGGCCGCGGCGGCCCTTCCGGCCACGGGGGTTATCCCCATCAGCGGCCGCAGCCGCAGCGGTGACGGTATCGGCGGGACGGGGGCGGCGAGCCCATGGCTCTGCCACTTCGAAGCTAACGAAAGGTAAGCCGTGTTTCATATATATATATATAGACAGATTAACATACAGTAGGCCGATAGTCCTTTGGCCCAGCTGGTAAACCAGCGCCGCGCACACTCCGGCCCATAACAAAGATTGTGCCGCGGGGATGGCGGCCGGGGCAGACGCAAGGAGGAGGGAGAGAGGAGAGAGGGAGCAGGTGCAGTTAGACATGGTGTTGGTGTTGTTGTTGTTATTATTATTGTTGTTATTGTTGTTGTTGCTGCTGTTTTCTTCCTTAGCAATCCTTCGTACGAAGGAGAAAAAGGAGGGAGATATCTCGAGTGCGATTCTGTCGCTTAAGGAGACGCGTTTGGCGGTCACGGGGTGGGCATGTCCCCTTTCGGTTCTGCCGCTGCTCACCACCTTCGCTCTCCTTAAGACGAAGGGGGAAAGGAGGATCCAGATACGTGGGACATAATAATGGCGTTTATAACGCTGGAAGATACCCCGTTTGCCTATATCTATATACAGGGAGCCTCTACCTGAGTATTCTATATAAGGGGTAGTATCTGGCGGCCGGGGTAGAAGTAAAGAGGAGGGAGATATCTCGAGTGTGATTTCGCTGCGTAAAAAGAGTGTGAGATGCTGGTGATGGTGGTTGTTTTTTTGTTGTTTTTTGGCGCCTTCGAAAGTTGAAGGCTAGAAGGTTGTCACAGGAAAGGGAAAGGGCTTGGGTGTTAAAGCAGCGAGCAAGGGGAAAGAAAACATGTCCTGCTCGCGGTGGGAGATTTGTGTTCTTAAGCGGCGGAAAGGATTCCAAGCAACCACTCGTTGCACATTCCGGCTCCCCCCCTGGCAAGGCACTTGTGCTATACTCCTGCTACTAAATAGGTAGGAGAGATAGCACCGCCAACCAGCCCTCACCAACGAGACACGACTTTTGGAGTTTCGTAACCTTCTAATATCGAGCCTGGATTTAGACGTCAGTCCTCATTTGTATTGGGATGTTCGATACCATATAGCACTGGAGAAGGTCTGATATACTGATGATATATTCATATGCCCTAAGCCATGGTGGGTATCCCGCCCATCTATAGTCGCATGTACAAGGGTTGTCATCAAATCATATTTTATTTTTAAAAAAGGCTGATACAAGAGAGAAAGATAAAAAAAAACAGAGCGTAGTGTATTCTCTCCCCCCTCTTTCTTGGTAGTTTGGGATGCCGAGTGAAAGATAACTTGTTTTTGGACCACTCTTCTTCCTACTACATTATAAGCACGCTGCATTTATGATGGTTTAGCTATATTTCAATCTTGAGTTTTTGCACCTAGACTGTCTTTCGGAGTCCGCTCCGGCGTCTTGGGGAAGAGCACATTGTGGCGGACTGTACCAGCGATAACGTGAAGGCGACAGAGAAGTTAATGGCGAGAGAGGCGGCCTAGGACCCAAGAGACTGATAATTGTTAGCATTATTCAATGTATATTCTTGGATATACGAGACTTACAAGTAATCTGTCTGAAATTGGTAGTTGCTCACTCTGCAAATGCGACCTAGCAAGAGGTTGATGTCCAGGAGACGGGAGGTTCTGGTAGTGGTGATGGTTGGAGTCGGGGGTTTAAGGGAAGACGGCCCCCATAAGACACAAGATATCACTTGCCGCGATTGTGACGGCCAAAGCAGAGAAGGGAATAACCGAGGAAAGGGGCACCATGGTGGGCGGCGGTGACGAGGGGCGGGGAAGTTTATGCCCAGGGTGAGTATAAGTGAACTGATGGCTTATGGCCCAAGAGTCTAATCAAATGTGAGCATCATTCAATGCATATCCTTGGATATATGAGACTTACAAGACGACCAACTCGCCCAGACAGCCAGACGCGACTCCATATGAATGACAAGGTAGGCCCGCATTATGCACCAAACAATGATGCTGGCCCCAGTTGTGACGACCGAGACAGAAGAGAGAGGAGAGGAGCCATTGCCTCTTAACCCCGTCGTAGGGGAGAGGGGAGTCGAGAGGAAGAGATGCCGTTGTTGTTAAAGAGGAAGAATAAGAAAAAAAAAAGAAAAAAAAAGAAGGGTGCTGATGCCGCTGTTGTTGTTTCTTTGCTGAGAGAAAGTGCGGTTCTGTTGTCACGAGACGACCGCGTTTCCCCTTTGGGCCATGTCGCATACCAGCCTCTTTTCCTCGCTTCGCTTTCCCTTTCTGGCCCCTTTCTCTTTCTTAGGGCTTCGTCTCTCTACAAGACTTTGGGCGCTCGAGGATTTTCAATGGGGTAATCATATTTTTTCAGATCAACAAACCCCTCAAGCCCCTCGCCTTGTGTCTTCTTTATTTCCACAAATCCTCGACTACGAACACAACATCCACAGAAACGCGTGCAATGGGCATAGTAAAACGTTTTATCAGGGAATAGGCCGCGCGGTCTCATACAGCACTGGCATGCTCTTGCACAGCACCCACCTCGTGCCTTGCAGGGGTCCACCAGGTGCTGTTGCGAAAGGTGTTTGGTCGGGTTGTCGATTAGAAGTTTATATATACGGGACCGATACATATTGTATCGACGCACCGTTGGGCCCTCGGGCATATGTATATAAGCGTCGTATAACATATTTCTAGCGACCCATTCACAGCACGCCGCCTCCTGTAGTTTGTGTTGCCAGTCCCTGGGGCCGCAGTTATCCAAGTGACCAACCTTCTCAAGTTTCCCTTGTATCGCGTATTCGATAATGACCTCTTTGAGGAAGATGCTCCGTTGCATCCATGTATGACGGGCTGAGAGTGACGTGCAGATTCCATTCCTCCACTTTTTTTGTTTGAGGTATTCCCCCCCACACTGGAAACACTCCTTTATACCTCGGATCCTATCAGAAATGCAATACATATGCATAAGATCAAAAAGCTCCTCGAAACCCGGACCGATACTGAATATCATCTTGATCAAAATAACGATGATGCAGGCACCAGCAAGTTGCATTGGGTTTTGTACATCCATCATGAGGCGGTAAAAGAAAGATACTTGGGATATAAATATAAATTATCGAAGAATAAATGAGAAATATCTGGGATGAGATATTGAATACGTATTTAGCGCTTTCTCAAGGTAGGACAGTAACTGCTATTCCAAACGTATCATGAAAAAAAGCGAAGGGAAAAGGGCGCGGCAGACCCATTTTATGGTGGCCTTGTGGCAAGAAACCTTGTGTCAGGATATTGTTCATCCATACATGAGGATGACGCGAATGCACCTTGGGCAGCCAGCCAAGGACCGACTGGCCCATGCCCGGATGGTTCCGTCTATCCTGAGGAGCCGTAAGGAAGAAACTACTGGAAATTCCATTTGGTGGTTGTGTACGCCGCATATCCGTCGCGCCTGACGTCAAAGACTCCTCTGCGACCTTGGATAAAGCTTTGAGCTTACCACGTCTCAAGAACGCTCAACCAAGTGGGTCCAGTTAAGTGTATAGTCACGTGATATATATATCCAGGTGGCTTTCGCCGCATGCTCGTCCCACTTTAACCACGTTTATTTCAACATCCGCCTGAGTAGATGGCCCTTCTTGCACCGAAAATACTACAGAAACCTGGAGACTATGGCGAAAGATGAGATGTCAATAGAGATTTTTATCTATCTGATGAAGAATCAGGTTTGAGTGAGAAGACAAAGGACTCACACCGAGGATTACCATAGACCCCTTGGTTATGTGGTTAGCTTTGGCAACTTTGCCAAAAAAAGGGGGGAACAAAAACAAACATACGATAGTCGGGATTCGCTGGTGGTCACCCACCCAACTACTAACCGACCGGCAAGCAGCTTAAGTATGGCTGAGCGGACGGGAAGCCCTGCTTTCTACTTCCTGTGATCGTATGTGATAGGCGTTTTGGTTGATGGAAATTTGAACCATCCATCGAATTGAATGGAAACGCGGTCTGGGAAAGTCAAAGACCCGTCCCAGGTGATAAGGTAGTGGAATTTGCGGACTCGCGTCCCTGTCATTACTACCTCCACACCTGAAAATTACGCAAATGATTGAATTAAAGACAAAAGAGAAATTGCTTGCACTAGCATCTATTCATTGATCAACAACCATGTTCCCCTTGAGGTCGCCAAGGAATCCCGCCCGCTAAGGTAGTCATGTGATATCAACGCACTTGGCATTTATATTTCACCGCCAGTCCGCTCCCCTACTTTTCCTCTTCCGCCCGGAAAGCCAGAGGGTAATCTATACTCGGGAGGATCGAGATTTGACAGCCTAACGAAGCACTTTGAAGCCGGATAGAGTACCGCGACTTTCAGCAGCATGGCCGCTCGCTCTCTTCATCTCCAGGCGAGGTGTCCGAGCGGTCCAAGGAGTGCGGTTAAGGTCAGTCTTTGGCTTCAACTTCCGCATCTGTGTTACAGGCGTGGGTTCGAATCCCACCCCCGTCAAGATTTTTTGCCTCAATATCTTGGGTTTCACTCTCTTCCGGTGCTGACGGGTTGGGATTTCCACCCGTTAGTAGATATTGGCTTGTATTATGTTGGGATTTCCATGTTACTGGCGGTGTGGTAGTGAGCATGGCATATATATGTTTCAGACAATAGTAAGAATGGTTGGAATTGTATGGTTACTTCAGAGGTCGTGTAGGTCTCTAAGGAAAATGATATTCGCGTATCTATGAATCAACCAATAAAATGGATACACCTACTATAAGACATCAAGAACCTGTACTCTGTCTTTATATAACGAGTCGGATAAACGCATCTTTCTTTGCGGCCATAAGCCAAAAATAGCAGAAATACAGGTCTGTCTGTACTTTTTTTCCCTGCCCAGAAACCAAGTTCTTGTGGCCCCACTTTTCTGGACGCACGCAAACGCAGCTTCGTTCAACGTCAAGCCGGACAGCAGTTTTGGGCGCTGGATGTGTTCCACGCGGTGGTGATGCGATTATTATCACAGCTCTTGATGGTAGTGGTGCATGATGGCCGTGTGAGGACTATGCAAGGCCCTGGGTTTTCTGTAAGTGTTGCTCTTCCCCGGCTATTGGAAATTATTGATTGTTGATACCCGTTTTCAGACAAGAGCACAGCGCGGTTTCATATGCGGTTTCAGACGATCGTAGGGTCTCTTACGGCTGCATGCCTGTGTCAACGCTGATATGTCGATTGTGGTCACTAGGGACCCCAAAGACGGTATAACGAGCTCCATATGCAGTGGCTGTGATGCCATTTGTGCTTCATAAGCGCGATGACCTGCCAGTCCTAAGGCACTTCTGGAGGCATGAATGTATTCCGAAGTACAGAGCCCCAGCCATGTGTTCTTAAGGGATTCTATAACTTTCAAGCAGTCAGGCCAACACAGCCTTGTTATACCCATTAGCTTGTAACTCTTAAGCTTACCCTTATAGTTACCTTTTTACAATATAGCAGCCCTTAAAGGCCGATGGTGA